CTGATCAATGGTTGTACAACTACTTTATATTTTCATTGACATTCAAAATAGATTTAAATTACTCAAAATTCAAATCATGTATAAAGTCTCACTTTTAACAAAATGACGGGTATATTATTGTACCAGCTACAATAAAGCTGTTCCCTACTAAATTAGGAAATACTCCTCAGAATTCACAAGTATTCAGAAGTAAATGAAAACAGCCTTTAAAAATAAAAATCTGAGCTCAAACAAGAAATCTAAGTTTCTTTTCCCACAACCTTTAAAACTGGGGACTTACTGTTCTGAAGAAAAGCTACCAGTTTTGGACTAAATTCTCAGAAACTCTGATTCACTGTAATGTCAGAAAGACAAGGAACAGACAGTATAAAGAAGTCTTACTTCCCCATTAGTTATTTTCAAAGGTTAATGTTAAGACAGATGAGCACATCTCCTGTTCATCCAAAAGTCTCACTCCATTCATTAGGGGTTTTCTATCTAGTGGCCTAGTATTTGTGATAAACTTCAGCTTTATTTCTTTACCATAATTATTATAAACTTTATTTGGATTTTATTAACAGTATACATTGCCATACATTTTAGATTTTTAGTCATCTGTTAAGTTTTTCTATATTTTTTTTATTTTTTAAAAATAAAATAGACCATTATGGTCTCTTAACCTCCCTCTCAATAAATGAGGTTTTATGACACTAAAGATGAAGCATCTAAAGGAGCATTCTTTTGGAGAATATACTGTATACATTAATTTTAAGGGTTTGAGCATGTTCTTTCTTTTTAAGCTTGCATATATGTATTAAATAAAGAGCGGTCTACTTTATATGCTATTTTAAACCATAAATATTAAATGTGTAGTTGAAATGAAGTACATTTGTATTAATTTCAATTGCTAATTTATATGCTATTTTAAAGCATAAATATTAAATGTGTAGTTGAAATGAAGTACATTTGTATTTATTTCAATTGCTCATCCAGGTTTCATTTCTTAACTAAAATGTCTTGAACATCTCAAAAAATAGAATTACATACCAATTTCATAACTGCATTTCTTTAAAGTTTGAGAACATTTTAAAAACTGTTCTTATCATCTGGAAAACATACTACATTATGATTTGATTATTTGATTGATGCCAAATGGCAACACTAATATGTGAATTGCCAACATGAGGCAGCTGAATGAACAAAAAAAAAGCAAGGAGCAGATAAACCTGTTGCTTTTAAATTCTAAATTTGGAACCATTAATTAACTAATGCACAGGAAAACATTTCAGATCGTAACACTGATTACAAAAAAGTAAATTGATGAATCTGAGGATCTCATCCAGTTATTTCTTGAATAGCATGTCTGGGTATTTTGTTTCATATTCCCAGGTAAAAGTATTAAAAAGTGTCAGCTTTAAATCTACAGAACTTCACCGCAATTGCTACATGTATCCGCTTGTTTCATGACTCACCGTACATTTAGACTTTTAATGTACATTTTTCCAGCAGAAAAAATATTCTCGTTGTAGTACTTTATTATGTAGTTATATTGTGGAAGGCTGTACAGTTCTTTATTTTCCATGCTCAGGGTTGCCAGGCAGTGAACATATACTTTACTGTACTTTCAGGGTGTTTCAAGTAATAAAATCAGTGAAGCTCAGTAGTGTTCCCATGGATGCAACTTAATCCATTTTTGGTACCTTCCCAAATATAAAGATCAAGCTTTTCTCCCCTTAAATGTATCAAGATATCAAGAAAGTTCTACATTCCAAATGTTTCCATTTTTTTCTTCTCAAACAGACAACCCTGACCAATCCCGACAACAGAACCAGTAACTTATGGATTTTAGGAATTTGGATTAAATGTCAAACGTGGAATTATGGTCCCATTTAGCTAAGAGATAACACTTTGTTTTGAAAATGTAAAAAGATCGTCAATAAGACTATGAATTGAATATTGCATTTAAGTAACTGATCTTAGTCGCATTTGTGCCACAAGCTGAAAACTTAAGGAGGCCCAAAATAAAAAAAATACCCTTGAGCTCATATGCTTCTACTGTACTTGCACAACAGGAGTTTTTCAATTTCAGCAGAAACCATAGAATGTGGAAATCCATTTACAAATGACAATATGGCAGTAAAAGAAGAGCAGGTTTTTACAGGATGTAATATTAAGATTAGAGGGAATTTCAACAAACATCAAAACATCCTAAATGTTTTTTTTTAATGATATATTACTTTATCCTTAGGATAGCTACTTGAAACTATAATTTGACACACAGGGAATTAAACAGAAAAAGCAGAAAAATGGCAAATTTAACTTTCTTACCAATATGAAATTGTGTGTGAGTGTGTGAGGGGAGCTAGTTACACCATCTAGTTACACACAAGGATATTTACTAGAGATTATATTCAGACAGAGCACATTAAAATACAATATATATGTATATAATATATACAGTACAAGGTTGATTAAATGGTAAAAGATATCCCACACTCAGTTTAAGACATCACAGCTGTTCATTATTCAAATTGCTGAAGTACTTAAATTTAAATAATAATGTAAAATACAATACTGTATAATATAAGGATATTCCACTTTGCAATACATTGTTGTTAACAGTCGACATAATAATTTGACTTGTTTTGACCACTTCATATCTTGTATAGAGCAAGGAATCTTCTGGTAGCTACAGTTTAGCAGTTCTTATTGACGCTCCATTCTCATTATCTGTAGTTAAAATTGGGTGAGAGGTATGTTAGGTGGCTTGTTCCTGGCATGCTAGGTGCCATATTTAAAAAAAAATGCTTGTTATTCTGCAAAAATAACTGCAATATCTGTAGTCTTGAAAACACACTAACAATAAGGTGAGTGTAGTTTCCCTTTGCACCTGCGAAAAGGTGCAAGTTTCAGCAGGTGTACATATCATTGGAATCCTATACAGATTTAATAGAGCTACATATCCAGTTTTCAGAAAAGCATCAAATATGTTCACTACAAGTATGTGAGTATATATACTAAAAAGGCTTTTCAGGTAGGACTAAACCAAACATACAAAGTATCTTTTTATTTTGGAGCTTTAAAAACATTGCAATTCGTAATATAAAATTTAAAGATAATAACAATTGTAAAACCCAATTTCTTGCTTATTTTGTGCTTCAAGAACGTCTGAACAATCCTTGAATCTGGAAATCAACTACTTCCATATAGTCCCTTGTACCACCTATAAGAAGCTGAAAATACTAGAAAAGAAGAATCTGTGGATATACAGTAAAAGCAGAAAACCCTGTTCCCTGAAAAAACACCCCCTCAAACACAAACACTAGCATCAACCGATTTCCTTTTTCAAGTGCTTTCCTCTCAGAATGAGAGATGGCTGACGGCTCGGAGCCGCAGCTCCTCCAGGAATGTTGACGGCCTGAGCTCCAGCCGCCAAGGATACCAAACAAACACAAGGGGCCCGGTGTGGGAGAAGAGTGGTGCAACTGTGACGCAGGGTAGTAAATTAAGGCATTACATCACTCGCTGAACACACAGCTGCCAGACCACACAGGCCAGGCCAGCAACACACACTTGATGCACAACTCCTTCAGATTCTGATTCTGGTTCACCAAGAAAAGTGAGGATCACCTGTGCTTAGTGGTTCCTGTATGTCATTATGTAAGCTTTAGGAATTTTGAGTCAGTTTAGGACATTTGTGGGTGGTTTAGTGAATATCATGGTGGCAAAATCTATTTTAAAACATACGTTTTCTGGTATGTTTCAGATGCGCTATGTCAAAATTGCAGTGTGGGGAAGGCTTTCTCATGGCAAGGGTGATAAATAAGTGATAATTCTGGAGCATTTCCGAATGCTGTGAACAACATATTAAATATTTACTGTATGTAACTAGTGTTGCTTTCAATTTCTTTTTAGATTTCAGCTTAATGGAGATACCAAGGTTTCAACAATTACAATACCATTGCTGGTAAAAGTTCTTAGAGGTTTTTAAATGAACACTTTCTGCTTCTGAGGCTTTCCTTATTCCTATGCTGCAATGGGCAACTCATCCTGGTTACCAGAAAAATGCAATCTGGAGAAGGTAAGCGGATAACAAAGGCCTAGACACAACACTGTCAATAGCTTTTTCTAAATCTGTTCTTTCAGTTTACACTCCACTGTGCATAAGTGGTTGTAGGAACTGGTCAGCTGGAGAAAATCATCATAGCAGGACATAAGACAAATGTCCTTAATGAAAGCCAAAAATGATAGGGCTTTAGAGGCTGGAAGAAAATTCTTCCACTAGATTACAGCCTGAAATATGCACAAAAACCTCAAAGCTCAGAGCTTCATTTGCAGTAAGGCCCTCATGTCTCGTCTGAGGACTGGGGACAAAGTAAAAGAATGTGACTATGCTGGGAACAAGTGGAGATACTGGGCAACATATCCCAAACTCTTACAGAGTCACTCTTACAGTGACAGAGTGCAGTATGCTGGAATGGAGCATACGGTGGCAGAATGCTGGAACAGACCCTAGCCTACTCTTAAAAGTCAAGATCACAAAGCAATTTGAGAGAAGTATATACTGTATGCCTGAAAGATCCCTCCCACACACCAAATGGAAACATTTATAGAAGATGTTTGTTCTGCGTATGCATCTACAGAATAGTATGCTGTGGACTTGTAGTCTGTCAAGATTGTTCTATGCTTACCACTTAACCAATCTTTTGATTATTAATTTTGACAAATAATCCTATCATTTTTTATTTATGTCATCTATGTTATCTTTTATATGTTGATAATTATTATATGTTGTCCTTAATGTGTGTTTTTATTGTAAACATCAGACAGTGTCTCAAGACACAGTCTTGGAAAAGACTAAGATGCCATTATTTCAATGGACATGAAGAACATGACTTTGAAACTATGACTTCACTATGAAAAAGTAAAAAATATGACTGCATTTTTTCTTCCATCTATACTACACACTGTCACACCATAAAATATATTAACATCTTATGATAATAATTTAAGTTACTTGCCTTGCATGTTCCTGTGATGCCCAGGTCCAACGGGGAAACTGTCTTCTACAAAACAGAGAATGATTAAAACTGTATTTACGACACAGATTGTTTTGGGATGAAAGGTTTGCTGTAAATAGCCCAAACCCGAATACCCATGAGCATGAATAGCACACCAAGTTAGGAATGGCTTTTAAAGAAGTCCAAAAGTAATGAACCATATTCCATTTACAGGCCCATCCAGTCTACTAGCAAAAAAGTAAGGCAGATGTCTGAGTTAACTGGTTTTTGGACCCTTCAAGACATAATGTAAGCCAATGGTGACAGTGACTGGAACTTGGTAAAAAATGGTGTGTCCTCAGAGAAACAATAAACAAGGTGGAGAAGCTTCATCATATGGATGAAAAGTTGGCCCCACTGGAGATTGCTAGCTTGTAATTGAGGAGCCTAATGGAAAGTAGATTAGGAGCTGCCATATGCAGCTGAATTAGATGAAGACATTCCAGATTTGGAAAACAGGAGACATTGAATGGGCCTTTGGTTTAAATGGACCAGGGAATTAAGAGAGACATAACTGGAACATTTGCTGGGGAGTTAAGAGATGTCAATATCAAGATTTTGAACAAAGACCAAGTTATATGTATAGTGGCAAGTTATAGAAGAAAACAAATAATAAAATTCCACAAAACCTAGAATCATTGAGGGAACATATTCATGTGATAGTGGTATAAACAGTGGTAAGATCAGGGAAACATTTTAGGAAGTATATACTCTGCCAAAAAGTATAAACAATGAGTGACTTGTAGTCCTTTGATCTTTTCAAGTACTGCAGCAAGGTCACCAAAAGGCAAGAGGAGGACAACGTCAAATCTGACCTAGAACTGCTAACTGCGTTTGTTGCACTAAAATGTAAACATTACTAAGATAGTTCCCAGAGACGGCAAGACAGAGTACACTCATTTCTGTTACGAATGAAGTTCCTAATAATTCCTAATTTACAATTTTCAAAATGAAACAGAAAAAATAACAAAAAGTATTACCAGCTTGTGTGTGTGTGAGTGAGGAAGTCCTCTGTGTGGTGGGACCTATGGAAAGGGAAATGGAGAATTAACAGTTTTATGTGAGATTTACAGGCCCAAAGATATGAATGTGGGTCAGCTCTGTTGACACATTCAGAGCTCTGTTTTGTAAAGTCTTTCCAGGGACCTTGTTTTGTGTTCACTGTTTCTCCATCTTACACAGTGTGCACGGTAATCTTTTTGTGTGAGGTCTAGGTTTGCTGAAAGAGACCTTTCGAGGGAGTGCAAGGAGATAATATTTCAGAGAAGAGCGTTGATTTTGTTGTGACTGAGGAAGGGATTCTCCTGAAAAGGGAACATAAAAAAGCCAATTCTGACATTTCAGGAGAGGATGTTCCTGATTGCTTATCTTTTTTATCAATTTTTTTCTAAACTTTAAATATTATGATTTTTTAAATTTGCCACACATATTTGTCTTGTACACTTGTCTCTTACAAGACTTGAACTTGAACCAGAATGTGCTTACCAGACATGAACAGTTTTTCCTTCCCTTAACACACAATGTTGAAAAAGTGAAACTACTGTACATTACATGGCTGGGATGCATGCCTGCACCTGCACTGGCAATAACGTGTAAAAATATCCCAAAAGGAAACAGAAACAAATGTGCAGCTTACCCATGTTTACAGTCATCATCAGGAACTGGGCTCACTGAACTTCACTGCAGCACTGAACTTCCCCTTAGTCAGTAAAGCCTGCACCCTGGTAAATAAATTTGAACAATTCAAGTTAAGTGAAATTTTATAAGCAATTATAGTACAATTCTAGAGAGGATGATGTTTTCATTATTGTACTGAAATAAGAGAAAAGCTGTGCTCTGTACTATTCCACAATGTTAAACAACAAGTTTATAGTACAGGTCCTGAAAGACCAAACACCTGCTGGGTTTTATTCTATCTGAGCTACATAACTACATAACTGAAGTCTTAATTGAACAAAGACTTTACTAGTTTGGAAAATTTGCAGATTTGCAAGTTTTGTTTTTCTGCTCAGGGAGTTTATTTTATTAATGAACACCCAACAGCTAAAAGGATACCCCCAATTTAGAAGAGATGAAAACGAATCAATTCATTAAGTCACTTCAGTTTTCAATTGAATAACAGAGTTTGGCCAGAACAAAAATCAGCAGTTGTGTGGTCCTCCAGAAACATGATTGGGAACTGTTATAATTTGTTCCATTATTAATGCATCAACTACACCAAAGGAAGAAAGAATACCAGAACAACAAAGTAGTACATCAAAGGCAATACATACACGCCTATACAGTGCATGAATGAAGCAGCACATTTATTTTGAAAAGTTGGTTCAAATTCATATTCATTCAGAAATTAAAATCGATACAAATTTACTATATTTAATTTTTTTCTCATTTTGTTCTTCATTTGACAAACTGAAATCGTAACTCATAAGATCTCCCCAAACTATGCATAGAAGAAAGATTTTTAAGACTCTGAAAATATTTAAGGAGCATATTTAGAATATAAGTTGGTTCAATAGTTCCATAAGCCTTTAGATTTCATTTTTGACAGTCCAGATAAATATTATAGCGTTCTGGGAGAGAATACTCTTTCTAAGATGGAATAGCAACACATTCAATGCCAGAATGGTTCTGATACTTTTCAACCCAGAATTATATGTTATAGTAGGGCAGTATTCAGAAGGTGAAAGGACTTGAACTTCAAACATTCTAAAAATATACTGTATCTAGGCTTATATCATAGTCAAATAAAGGGGCTGTCACAATTAGAGATCAGGGAATTTCTCTTAGAGTGAGGCAACCCATACAAAAGGTGCAACAGAAAAATGTATTGGATTATGTCAAGTCAGTGTCCAAGTCCAGACCATTCTCAAAACTGAGCTGAAGGTCAGACTTCTTTGTTGATTTCCTGATTTTAACGATATGGATGAAGTAATTGCTGAGGGGAAATTCCATTGCCCCACACCAAGTTGATGCTGTTTATGCCTCCTCACATACCCCCTCACTAAACTTACACCTACAAAGGCAGAAATACTGAGCTTACTATTGGCTAGCCAAGATCATGTGCCCTCCAGATTTGTTCATGCTCCCCTTGAAACAGGAACAAAAAACATCATATAAAAGAATGTGTTATGGAACTGATGATGTGGCTTGCTTAAAGCAATTCTAAAAATGTTATACTGTAATTGTAATAGTGCTGCTCAGAGAAAAGTCATATCTACTGTATCATGATCTGTTGAATTCAAGAAACCACAAGAGTCATGGTTATTCATAACTGAAAGTATTTAACTTTTTAAGGTCTCAGAATTCCTCTTAAAATCTACAATATCGTTCTGCTCTTTGTACTCTAAAGTGCAATGGGAGCCTCTTCAATAATATAGAGGCCTCTGAAGGCTTCCTGTTTCCCTGAGGTTTAAAGGGAGGTAATGCAAGGAAAACCATCAACAGCACCATGCATCATCATGGTTAAGATAAGACAGCTCTCCAAAGACTGTATGTGAATAATTGTGACCCTCAAGTTTTCTGGACTTAAATTTTTAATGTCAAATATGTCTTTGCTCTGTGCAATGCTATTAATATTACAGCACAATAGTTCTGGAGTTTTTTTCAGCAGGAAATATTATTTATATATAATAATATATAATGTTTTTCGCTCATGTTTACTCAGCAGCATGAATAAATCCAGAGGGCACTGTATAACTGAATGACTACATATCGACTAACTGAGATCATCTGAACAGCTTTACATTTAAACTTTATACTTTTGATTAATTAAGGAGTTATGGAGGCTAAGAACATGTTGCACTGCAAGTTATAGTGGTAGATTACAGATTTTGCACCCTTTGTTTACTTTGCAACAAAATCAATCCATATATTTATTCATTCCTTCACTTCCATCAACCCCTAACAACACAACAATCCACAAGCATTAAAAATACTACAATAACTGAGCTGTTTATCAAACCCAATAATAACCACATTTCTCAGTCAACTGTGTATTTATAACTAATTTTCATCGGGGATAACACCGCCACTTGGTTCATTTGGCTTCACAAGTTCTAAATTGTATTCATTCCGGACATCAGTTCCTCAGGATAAAAATATGAATACTATACAGTATGTAAGCCCCTTCTCCTTTGAATTTGTACCTCTCCCCTACCCCATCTCCCCATTTGCAGCTGCCCCAGGGTTAACCCTTTATTCTTCATGTTAACTCCTAGAGGTTTGTCCTCAGCCAAGCGGGTTAAGGCAAATTTAATATGATTAAAAAACAATAAACACTTTTAAAATACACTTTATTCTTGGGTGCTGTTTTACCTCATGAACTGTATTTAAAAAGAAAGTCATCCTTAGTTTGTATGCTATGGGTGCATGCACAGGAGGATGGGAATTAGCTGCTGCATGTTGTTCATACACTTTTAGAAATGCAGATCGCACTTACAGTAAATCCCCCTTAAACTGTATATTGTTTTCTCATTGGCTGTAGAAGTTGTTTTTATTATATACTTCTACTTCTGCTATTGATTCTATGACTGTGGAATTAATAGAACAGGAAAAACTTCTAAATTAGAATGTATAACTATAACACAGAAATGAGTAGCAATGCAAACGCTGAACAAACAGTAGAAACACTGCAAAGCTGACCCTGGAAAAAAACCTTGTGGTTGCCGATAGGAACTTCAAACTCTCTTAGTATTTCCTCTCCGCATCAAAGCATGTCTGTTAGCTTTGTTTAAAAAAAAACATGGGTTTCAAAAGCAAAGATTCTCCCAAGCCTTATCCCTCTTTTCATATGGTGTACAATGTGCTGCGTCTGTAGGTTTCTCCAAAACAGTCAATAGGAAAAAATGTCCTCTCTCAACATGCTGCCACAAAGGGTTGCTGTAAATTTCCGGAGTGTGAGCCAAGGGCCTCACCACTCGCAACAACAAATGTTAAAATAACAGAACTCTGAGAATGAGACAAGACTCCACTTCCTACAGCACAGATAATGCTCGGCACTCTCGCCTTCTCCCAGCAAAGGACCTTCACATCCCTAAAAAAAAATACTGAGCTGTATTGAATACAAGCAGGTTGCAAACAGTTTGCAAAAATGAATGGCTTTAAATGGGATAGCATACAAGTGCCAATCACAACCATGGCATTAACATTCATCCCCCAAACCACAAGATAAGGAAGGCCTGTTTTTAACAGTACAAATTTAGCAAAAGACTTTAAGTAACAGTACCGTCTCATTGTACACATAAGGCAAAGCATAAATGTGTGATTTTTGTTCTTGGTATGTAACAGCCAAATGCACATTAGCAAATACAGTTTGGTTGATTTTGCCACCAAGATGAGTGATCACAAAATGAGACCGAAAGATACAGATTTTCTTCTCAATTAAATGTCATACTTTCCACAGCTGCATTTAATGTCCCTTTAAAAAAAAAACATTGAAAATCTCATTTGTTAACTACTGTGGCCAAATGAAAGCAACAGTGCCAAAAACATTTTTTTCTTTGGGTTCCAATTTCACTCTATTTTATTACATTTCAGAAAACCCACTCACAACAACAAAATGTAACCAGCTAAATCTTAGTTTGGAGAAAAAGGGTGAGCCCTGTTATCAGATGTGATAGGCTGCCAAGAGTGGAGTCTGCAAGCATCATATACACTTCTGTAACAAAGATTAGTTCACTGTGCCACAGGACGCCAGGCATAAATCATGTCCGTGGATAGTGACTGTTTAAAAAATCTGGCAATAAGTAGTGGAGTTATTTTTGAAGAAAGGCAAATCACAAGTACTTATACAGTCCAATGCAGCCATTAATGACACAATTTCTCCATTAATTACCAAGTAATTGGTCGGTAAGTGACCATTACCAAGTGGCATTACTGTAGGTTATCTTCATGTACTGTGGGTTATAAGACAATTATACTGTACATAAATTTACACTCCCGATATGTTACAAAAAATCTTTAATGGATTACAGTTAAAGATGAGAAACAGTTTAATCTAGCCTACCCACACTTTCTAACAAAAACCCTCAGTACAGGACAAAAAGACTCTAGAAGGCGGCAGAGAACTCAAAAGATAATGGAAACTCTTGGAAAACTTTGCTTTTTCCATCCTGGCAGTATTATGAGCCAAGAAAGGTTGCCTGTTAATTATTTGGCATATTTAATAAATGCTTGAGAAAGATTAATACCAAATGTTTTCGTTATCTCTGAGCATTGGGGTATACAAGTTTTGGTTCCGTGCTGCTCTGATGAGGAGATTTCTTTACTCTAGTGCTCTTTGGGGAGTGCTATCTCCACAACACAGCACAACTTTGAAAATATATTTACTCCATCTACCCTTATTATTTTCTGCTGTGCAACAAAAAGAAAATAACATCTACGAGAACCCAAAACTCCATAACTAAGAACAAAATTAACAGCACGTTCATTGAACAGATTTGCTTCTCTAAGAAACTGAAAAGATGGCTAAACTGGAAGCTGTAAGGGACTTCATAAAGCCATTGGCCATCTCGTATATATTAGGTATGGTGTCAGTACTTCAGAGACAACTTGGGCTCCTCTTTCACTCCCTCTCTAACCTCCATGGTGAAAGGAGCACCACCAAGAGTGGATACCATCATATAAAGACCAGACATTCAGCTCTCGGGGACTGTTCCTCGAAGGACTGAAAATTGTCAGGTATTTCAGAGTTGAAGAGACCGCTTATAATTAAAGAAAAATA